TCGCAGTCGAAATAAACTCAAAAATAATGGCGCAGTACACAAGTAGAGACATGGTTTTGATGATTAAAAAAATGAGTTGTATGAGAAATTAAACGTTCTTGGAATAAACAGGCTAAAAGAACACAAAAGCATGCCGCATTTGGCGGCTATGAACCGGCTCGCGCTTCTCATTACGTAGTGCCGATGTGCGCCCGACCGCTCGATCAACGTAAATTTCGGCCTCCTTTGTGGTTCAAAACAGACAACTTCGTCCCTTTTGGCGGCTTGATGTCTTGATATAAGAAATTTTCCGCCGATTTTGGTGATTTGTTTGGCATGTTTTTGGTTGAAAATGTGTTGCAACTTGACTAATTTTTTTTTCAAATAGCCGGCATTGGCTTTTCAAATAAGGGGCGTGATAAACAATGGTGTCAATGGGAAACGGTTTGGGTTTTCACAATTCTTTTCAATTAGCAGACTTTTTCTTATAAGCGTTTTGCAATTAACTGGCTGCCACTGTATATACTCTGTATACTATTAGGTACAAGTTTGGGGTATTTCTTGTGCAACGCCTTACACCACGGCGAAAAGCAACGAATACAGAAATAACTATGCCACCACAGGGCAAAAAAATGTTGGGGGTTCGTGACCAAGCAAGATATTATAATTGAAAATATTGAGTAAAGAATGCCAGCAGGACAAGCCTAGGGTTAATAAATACAAATTTACTGTGATTTCAAAAAGAAAACTCAGCTGTGTTGGTAGAAACTACTGTTGGATAATTTAAACTTTGTTCCAACACAAAAAGAAGAATTCGTCGACCTTTGTCAGATAAATGCATTTGAAGGTCAATGAGTTTGACTAAAAATTATAGTGAGTTCTTCTTTGTCTTCCAGAACAAAGTTTAAACTTTTCAACAACTGTTACTGTAAATCCAGTGCAATAATCTAGTGGGTAGAGTGATTGCTTTGCATTTCAGAACTCATAGGTTCAAACTCTCTTTGGGTCATACCAAAGACTTTAAGAAATGGCACATAGTGCTATAAAAAAGAAGGTGGCTACTGTCTTATACCAGGTACATTGTATATAGCTCCTTATACAACAAAGTTGTGGAACAGGATTCTAAATGAGACAATTTTTATAACACTTGAAGGAAATGTGGCTTGATTGTTTTGTTGGGGAATATAGGAGGACCGAATATGTATCCCTGTGGTACCCCTGTCCTAGACTGCATGACAAGAATGTTTACAGTGAGTTTTTTTTTTAGGATGTGTTAACTTTACAGTAATTATGCTCTTTTTAGGATGTACAATGTGTTAACAGTACAAGTGAGTATGTTGTTTTTGAAGGGATATTTACAATAACTGTCTTGTTGTTGTTGTTTTTGTAGGATGTGTTTACAGTGAGTGTGGGGAACCTTCCACCCAGAGCCAGTGTACTGATTAAGATCACCTACGTCTCAGAGCTGGCTGTGGAAGGAGAAAACATCTGCTTCAGACTCCCTGGCAGTGTGGCTCCCTGGCAGGTAAGTTTATCCAAAACACACTAAATTCACCATGACAACATAAAATTTTCTGTTCAGATGCATATTGTATATGTTGTATCATATATGTCAGTTGCATTACAGCTGTGTCAGTTAAGCTGCTTTACTGAATTGTGACTGAAGTGAGACTTATCAGTTACGTACTGACAGTCACATACATTTTGTACATGTATTAGTACTAAATGTGGTTTACTAATGGTCATCATTCAATAAAGTTAAGACACCCAAGTAATAAGATATCGAGATAACTGTGTGTAGTTACTCAAGCAACTTGATGTCTCATTATTCTAAAATTAAACTGTTCAGACATTTCATATAGCATCCACTACCTTCAGTGACTGAAAGAGATCTGTAATCAATTAGGGTTTTATCCAAAAACTTTGAATTTATTCCTTATGGTAAACAAGTATGTTTTTATCAATTCAAAGTTTTTAAGTAAACAATACTAATAACACTGTTGACAACAAATTGCTTTCTGCCACTTATGAAAGGTAATGGGTGCTATGAAATGTCGAACATTTTGCAGTTGCCAGTTATCTCAACATTGTATGGTCACAGCTTTTATGAAATTTTCAAGTTTTACAGTTACTATTTTGTTTTTTCACAAATAGAAAGATTCTCTGTCTGAGGAGATTCAAAAAGATGTGGAGACAGTCAAGGTGGGAAAGGATGCTGGGAAGGAATTCTCCCTCCAGGTTGCCATGGAGATGCCCTTTGACATCAGGACCATCCAATCACCATCTCATAAAATCAGAGTAAAGGTAAGAGTTAGTCTACCTAAATCAGTTTGATTCAGTCAAGGTCATGCAGTCTGTATTCTTTTTTTTATGTTTATCAGAGGAAAACATATTGTTTTTACTTAGTTTCTTCCTCCTCCTCTTCTGTTCCAAGCACTAACCTCTGTCCTGGCCAATGACATGATTTGTTGACGTCTGTCACCATGGTGACTGGTGTTGGGTTATACATAATGTTGCAATTTCATGGTCTGCTCTGCTCCTGTCACCATATACTAGTAGTACATGTATGTGAATGTGTTTGAGTAAGAATTAACAGAGCAGATCATGTCCGAAGGTAAACATTATGCATTTGCTTTGCAAATGTTACTTCTAGTTTGTAATAATTTACAGAAGAGAAATTATTAATAAGCTACGTGCAATTTTGCAGACAAAAATCAAGTTAGTAGGGGTTGAATGGTGCCAGTGTGATAAATCTATAATATACTTATACTAGGAACGTTTCATGTATTTTTCAAATTTCATTGTAAAATGTTTGCCAAGTACAATTTATGCCATGGGTTTAAGTCTGACGTAGACTTAGTGTGTATTTGCAGAAAGACAAGTTTGGTTGTGTAAAAGAAAAACCCTATATCCTATACTCTACCAACCTGATGAAACTATTTTTGGAAGGTAGACTTATAAGTGTGTATTTGCAGAAAGCATTTTCCAAATTGCAAAATTTTGACATTCTGTGATATTACAGATAAATGAAAAAAATTATGATTTCTACCAGTTACTGCTTGTTATCATTAATATGAAATAAGCAAGTCTGTGTATAGTCAGAACTACTTTGTAAGTATAATTAATGTAATTATAATTTTCTCTTTGTCTCCACCAATCAGAGGACAGCAAGCAAGGCTGTTGTGGAGCTTGAGAAGAACTGCATGCTGGGAGATGGTTTCCTGTTGCAGGTTGGTCTGGCAGAGATCCACGTACCCAGGATGTGGGTGGAACGACACCCCGACAAGGACAGCCAGGTTTGTAAAATGGGGAAAAATAACCATAATTCCATTTTTTTTGCAATACTTTTATGTTCCCGATCTTAACTGTCACTTCTGTACTGCAATAATAATTTTTCTGTACCTGCCGCCACGGTGTAGTTTTGTGAAATACCTTTTTTCTCAGAACGCAAACTTTCGCTTCCGTGAACTACAGCAAGCATCATTGCAGTCAGAACTAAAACTCTTATGCAAGGAACAGTACAAAGAGGACAGAAGAGAGATAAGTAACAGAGAAGATGGAAGGATAATATCAGAAAATGGACCAAAACGACACTTAGTAAAACTTTGAAGGCATTCAATGCAATTTCAGCAGCAAAACACAAAATACTCTGAATGTGGAAATCTCAGTCTGATATTAACATTTGCTGCCATTTCATAGTGCAGTTTTGGCATCAAATCAAGCTTCACAAGGCATCTCTTTATTTTTTGGTGCCACCCATAAATAGCAAGAACCAGCCTACGATACAAAACAGGCAACTGTTTTCCACTTGGGACAAGAGATAAGGCAGGTTAATATGTAAGGGGCAAGTCTGCTATGTCTATTTTGCTTAGAAACTCTGTTGAAATTCATCCACAGGCCTGTATGCTGACCTTCTACCCAGAATTCCAAGCAGAGGTCATGCAGGGTCATGAGGTCATCCTCCTCTTGGATGCGTCCAATTCCATGCGGGGGTCACCCCTGGAGGCAGCCAAGAAAGTTGCACTGCTCTGTCTCAGTCATCTTCCTAAGGAGTGTAGCTTCAATGTAGTTGCATTTGGCACAGGTTTGTTATGTTTACCTTCGTTTGTTATGTTTACCTTTGCAGAAGGAAAACATATGTGCTGTTTTTGCTCAGTCTTTTTTCTTCCTCTTATTGGCATCTGTGTGGTGTAGTGGATAGAGCATTCGACTGTCAAGCAAGGAGACCCAGGTTCAATCCCCAGGGTTGGACCCAGACAAGTCCAGACATGCACCCAGACGTTGTGCCCTTGGGAAAGGCACTTAATACGTATTTCCCTCCTCATTTAGAGGGATTCTGGGCCCTACTAGGATTTGGGTTGGCGTTAGGAAGGGCATCCAGCGATAAAAATCTTGCTTCAACAAAAAGACTTGCACTTGATGCAAGCACGTCTAACCCCAGTTCAGGGGGAAAAAGATGTTTAACCACATACATTGTAGAGAGAGAGAGATTCTTCTTCAGAATCTACAAACAATAATGTCAATGACCTGGACCAAAAGGCTGTCACCATGGTAACTGGTGATGTAGCAGTCAACCTGTGGTGTTGGATCACATTATGTAACAGGTTGCTGGACAGAATTTGTGGGGCTGGTCACCAAATATATTAATTTGAGTAAGAATAAGCAGAGCAGTACTTAGGCTACACCATGTAAATGTTTTTGAAGCTTTTCAATCTTCTAATTTTCCATCTGCTATTCACAACTTAACATAAATCTCTATTCTGTACCTATACAATGCAATGTATTTTTGGTTTGCATGAATTGTGATATCAACATATTTTCAACACTGTATTCTTTTTTGTAGGATATGAGGAACTGTTTGCTGTTAGCCAACCCAGAATCAAGTCTAATGTTTCTAAGGCTGAAAACTTCATCCAGGTAGGTGTTTGCTGTTTGTTTTCTTGTTTTTGAGTATATGCTTTTACTGATTAGGGAAGAAAAATGTATATTTTTTGTCCATGTGAAGTCTAAGGAATTGTTCTAGAGTAGTTTCATCTGTCCTTGGTGCTGATTGGTTGCTGCAATTTCATTTCAACTGATTCTATTTTACCTTTCCTTGGTGCTTATTGGCTATCACATGAAGCAGTCTCATTTTGATTAATTCTGTTTCACCTTTCCTTGGTGCTGATTGGCTATCACATGAAGTTGTCTCGTTTCAGTGATTCTATTTCATCTTTCCTTGGTGCTGATTGGCTATCACATGAAGTAGTCTCATTTCAGTGATTCTATTTCATCTTTCCTTGGTGCTGATTGGCTATCACATGAAGTAGTGTCATGTCAGTGATTCTATTTCATCTTTCCTTGGTGCTGATTGGCTATCACATGTTGTAATGTCATGTCAGTGATTCTATTTCATCTTTCCGTGCTGCTGATTGGCTATCACATAAAGAAGTCTCATTTCAGTGATTGTATTTCATCTTTCCTTGGTGTTGATTGGCTATCACATGAAGTAGTCTCATTTCAATGATTCTATTTCACCTTTCCTTGGTGCTGATTGGCTATCACATGAAGCAGTCTCATTTCAATGATTCTATTTCACCTTTCCTTGGTGCTGATTGGCTATCACATGAAGCAGTCTCATTTCAGTGATTCTATTTCACCTTTCCTTGGTGCTGATTGGCTATCACATGAAGCAGTCTCATTTCAATGATTCTATTTCACCTTTCCTTGGTGCTGATTGGCTATCACATGAAGCAGTCTCATTTCAGTGATTCTATTACATCTTTCCTTGGTGCTGATTGGCTATCACATGAAGCAGTCTCATTTCAGTGATTCTATTACATCTTTCCTTGGTGCTGATTGGCTATCACATGAAGTAGTCTCATTTTGATAAATTCTGTTTCATCTTTCTTGGGTGCTGGTTTGCAATCACATGTTATTAGGAAGTCTAATTTAAACTCCGTCTTTTCTTTCCTTGTATTTCCTTGCTTGTGTAATATTCAGAAGTTATCAATTCTGCAAAAAAAGTTGTAGGATGACAAAACATTTTCTATCCATTATGAAATAAAGACTAAGCTTTAACTTCCAACACTTAGATTACAAAATTGGGACTTACCCAAATTTTCGGTTGACTCCATCAACCTTGTTCACTTTGGGTAAGTCCCAATTCTGTAATCTAAGTGTTGGAAGTTAAAGCTTAGTCTTTATTTCATAATGACTTGTACCAACACAGATGAACTTTCATGCTAAATTTTCTAACCATTTAAAAATTTGGGATTTTTTCACCAGGATCTCAAAGCATCAAAAGGAAATACAGATGCATGGAGGCCTCTTCACGGCTTTTTCCTGCTTCCCCCCTCCCCTGGAAAAACACGGAATGTGTTCCTGATCTCTGACGGACATGTGAACAACGCTGACCAGACTCTGAGTGACATCCACGCACACTACCTGGAAACTAGGGTCTTCAGCTGTGGAGTCGGGTGAGGATCACTCAGAATATTGGTACCGGGAGCCAGGTCGGATAGCACAGGGAGGTGTTTGAGGAACTCTGGGGGAATCACGGTGCCCAAGGCACGGACAAACAGACTGTACAACTCGTTCCTCCACTGCACAATTAGACTGTACAATAGCGAAATGCAGACCAAGTGTTCTAGTGTTTCATGTCAAACTTTTGTATGTAATTGCCTTGTGCGTCTCTTGTACTTAGGTAAAGTCCACACAATTCAGGAGTACTACGTACCCCTGCTATGTTGACTGTTCTTAATAAAATTGAAATTGAAAATTGAAAATTGAAAATTGAAATTAATAAAATCACGCCAAATATCTCGTCCTATATCATATTTTGTATACTGGAATTCATTCTAGATGTGTCAGTTTTGAACCCCAAATTGACTTTTGAAATCTTACAGTGTCCTTCTTTGAAGTTTATTCTGGAATAGATTCATGAAAAATTCTCCAGGAGTAGAATTTTCCAAACAACAAAAAATGCAGAACCATATGATGAATCAGATATAATTGCATATATCATTAGTCAACATTCACTAATGATTTTTACTAAATTGTTTTTTTAGATCTACTTCCAACAAACATTTGCTGAGAGCCATAGCCAGGGTTGGAGGGGGAGCCTTCGAGTATTTTGATGACAAAACCAAGTCTAAGTGGGAAAGGAAGGTAAGTCTATCATTTTTTCATTAAACGTAATACATTTTGTAATAAATGGTTTATTGGCCAAACATCACCTGTGCAATCACAGCCTTTATAGTGCTGAATTGATGCAGGGTTTACAATCAAATGATACAGATGGTAATAATACACATAATAATACACATGATACATGGTTGTTCAACCTACATTTTTGTGGAACTGTCGCAAGGGTCTGTGCGGCTGCCATTCGGCGCCACAAGGTGACCTCAATATGGCTTTCCCCAACCAAAGTTAGGTACCCATTCACACCTGGGTGGAGTGAGGAAAGTGGTGTAAAGTGCCTTTCCCAAGGGCACAACTTCGGGGCGCATGTTCAGACATGTCCCGGGTACGACTCGGGATCGAACCCGGGTCTCCCGGTTCACAGTCGAATGATCTACAACTACGCCACCCGATGCCACACGTTTGTGAAGATTAGTCATCCAGCTAGGGTAGTAACAATAAGGCCATGTTGATTTGATTATATGGATGACATCCTCCGGGAGCCCCCAAACTGATGCGCGCGTGCAAATAAAAAAAAAGTTTTGCAAAAAAAAAAGTTCTTTTCATTATGAAATCTACGTGGTCATGAGGGTTGAGCAAATGGCACAGAGTATGGTTTGGCGAATAATCTAGTCTTCAAGTTCATTTCTTTACAATTTCGTCTTTTTTCCTTAAAGTTTGATTTTGGCATTCTACGACATTGGTATAGTTTTTATTAATTTTTTTACTGTAACTTATGGTATATTTTTGCTCATTTTGCAACTGTTTTGTACGATTTACAGTATGGTTGAAAACTTTTTTTTTTTTTGGAAACGGCCGAAAATTCATTGTGCTTTAAATGTGTTCTTTTCATTGAAAGAACAAACAAGAATAAAAGATGATGTTTAACAAACTTGCAGATTTGAAACTGTTGTTATCCATTATGTACTTGGCACAGAGACTTCCTTACACATAGATAGATTTGTATGGCAGTTTTGATTTGAAGTTGTCATAAGAATATTAAGATTTTGAATAATAATTTTGGTGCTGTGTCATCTACATGTACTGTGCCTGTAAGTGCGCATGCACGTGTACAATGAAGGCTGGTAAAAATCTATATTTTTCAGGGTTCTCACCAGGATTTTTTCACAGCGTAGGGGTCAGGTATAGAAGGGCAACTTTCTGCGGCGCGAGTCACGCACCGAGTCCCCAAACCATGGGCCTGATATTCTCCCCCCAAAATTTTGTAACACATATTAACCACTTAATACTCTACTTATTGTTTATTGGGGGACAGATTTTGTTTTCCCTCTGTTATAGCTTCATTCTTAAGTTATATTTTCATTTTTTAAAACTTAAGATTAATGAAGCTTCTGCCCCCAAAAACCACCCCTACACTGGTTGAAACACAGTGTAGGGGGCTAAATCACAGCGTAGGGGGTCAAAATCACAGCGTAGGGGGCCCCTACGCTCAAACAGCCTGGTGAGAACTATGTTTTTCATCAATTACATGTAAGATTTAAAAAGATTGTCAACTTGCTTTGATGACCCCAATGAAGTATTGGGGGGAGGTAATGTACAAATGTATGCAAGTTGTCTCAATACTAGTATTTCTGTTTTAGTCTAACACTATTATAACAAATTATGCATTAGATGTCCACCCACCACAAGTAAGCTATGTATACTGTGTCTCAAAAACATATGTCTCAGTATGGGCAAGATGGAGCCTCAGGAAGAATTCCTTTGACATTTTTCATCGATACATGTATGAGATGTATTCCACTCAAAGACTGAGAGCTTGGATCAAAGAGATGTTATTTGAATGTGGTATGTTTAATTATTGGATGTTTTGCTGAAGTCTTGAACATGAAAACATAACCCGCTGGGAGGGGGGGGGGATTACATTATACAATGTCCATGCTTAGGCCACACCAATTTAATTTGTTGGTTCGAATTCTCGGATTCACCTCAGTCTTCGTTTTTTTCTGATTTGCAAAAAAAAAAAAATTTGATTCTGGTCCTGAATCAACTGAAAAATGCTCATATTTTGCCCCCCAACAGTTGAGGAAAGTCCTTTTCTTCCTAGTTGTTACAGTTTTACCATCTATCATTGCAGTGGTTTGATTAAAAGTTCAAAATTCAATGTTTAAATTTTAACCCAGCCTTTTGTGTTGACTTCATGGCTCATTTTGTAGCATTTAAGCCTATAGGATGCCTAGACCTGTTTTTATTTTATTTTTTTTCGCCCTGTCGCTTCATATTTTTTCTGAAAAAATCCGAGAACCAACAAATTAAATTAGTGTGGCCTTAGTCCAAAATTAATGCCCTTTGAAAAACATGTACATGTCAGGACGGTCATGATTTGATCATCAAATTGTTTTAATATTTATCTTATTCTTAATGTCATCTATATTATTATGTAAAATTTAATGGTTCACAATGATAGAAAGTATGGGCTGTATGACAGGGGCATTACCACTTGCTACGCCACCAGAGCCTAGGAAAAACATTGTCACGGTGTTACCTGTTTCCTGACTGGTACCATTTTGTTACCCTTAAAAAAAAACGATGACCCTAACCTTTTTTTTAAATTTACTACTGGTAAGATTTTCCAATCTGACCTCTGAATTTCAAATCCTCTGAATTTCTGAAACAATACATTATGTATTAAAAAAAGCACTGTTTTCTTCAGTAAATCTAGAGAAATTTGTCCACAAGCAAACAGGTGGACAGGTCCTCGAGACAGTGAGTCCAGATGCAATGCTAAACTCTTTGATTTATATATCATTATAATGTTCTTCATTTTAGCTGAAAGCTAAAAAAAATATCCCTACCTACAGCCCCTAGCTTTGTTCAGGACATAAACCAGACACACAACATTACATTTACTGCATCTTGGCGTCTTAGTATTTAATATTAGAATGTGTCTTGGACTTTGAAGAGGGACAATTTGGTACCGGGTTGAAAAAGAAAAGCGGACAGGAAGACTTTTCTACGTCTTTATGTTTTGAAATAAAGGACCCGCCAATTCCATTAACATGCACGCATGCGCCTCAGACTTTGCAAATCATGAACTGTATACATGACTGTATTCAAGCAACCCTGACTATGTAGACATTATATTTGGGCACGTAAGGCTCAGTACGTTTATATTACAACGAGTGAGAATTCTGCAATCACGATGTCGCGAAACATGCTCTACTTCTTGCTCGTGGTTTCCAATCATCTATTTCTCGCGTCCGCACCCGCGTTGCGGTGCCCTGACAGCTGTAGCTCCATCCAAGTTTTGTTTGCAAAGCAAATCATCTGTCGGTGCCCAGATAAAAACCAGGCGGGGTCCCCCTGCAGCTGGATTGGATACGGAGGAACGTACAGCTTTCCCGTATGTCTTGACGCCATACCAACCGACTTCGACAAAGCCACGCTATCGATCTGCATCAAGCATCTCCGTTCTCTGGTGATTTTAGAGCGGTCTTTCCCCAACAGCCCAGAAGTAGAGATACTTGAAATCCAAAAGTCCAACGTTTCAAGGGTCCAGCCAGGAGCTTTCCGAGGTCTCCCATTGGTCTCCAAGCTTGGTCTTGATGACAACCGCATCTCCAGTCTTGGTACGTTGGAAAAAATTTATTTTGGACTCCTCAGTTGGGTTAAGGCAGCCCAGACTTATACTATGATAATTAGTTTTTCATACTTATGCCAGCAAATTCCGATAGCTTCAAAACTTCACACAGTTTTAGTAATATTTGAAACACATTGGATGCAGGTTACATTCAGATTCTGTGTAATCAGTTTTTCTACTGCTGCATTTTCGATTAGAATTAGAAATATTGGTTAAAAAATAGCCGTGTATTTCATGGGTCTACACGCAGGCTATATTTAAACAAGACCATCATTTTACAAAGTGAGAGCCATTTTATATGTCTATTTTGTTTCAAAACTAACTTAAAGACAATTACATTGTTTTTGGGGGGGTCAAAACATCAGAAACTGGTCTTTTGGTCATTTTCGGTCAAAAATGTGCACCAGTTAAGAACATCAAAATTCATGCAAAATAGCCTTGGACAATTTTGATCAAATAAAATTGATTGCTCTTATTAATGTTAATAAGATCAATTCTGAGCTGCGTGTAAAGCCGCAGAAGTCATAACCCATTAAGAAATGTGTGACAATCTGGGTTTACAATGGAATGTACATGATTGTACAAATGACCACCCGGGTGACCCCGAATCAAACACGTTCTGTTCAAATGAATACCAGCCTGGGCTGCCTTAATCTAATGTACTATATTTATGATAAGACATTTAGGAAATCAACCAGTCCTGCAATTCAGGCCACACCAATTTAATTTTTTGGTTAACGGATTCGCCCGCTTCATTTTTTTCTGATTTGGAAATAAATATAAAAATTTTGAATCAACAGTTACTGCAAAATGCTCATATTTTGCCCTGAACAGTTAAAAACAGTCCTTTTCATCCTAGTTGTTACAGTTATTCCATCTTTCAATGCAATGGTATCATTAAAAGTTCAAAATTCATTGTTTAAATTTTAAACCAGCCTGGTGTGTTGACTTCATGGTTCCTATCGTACCATTTTGGGCCATATTTGGATGCCTAGGCCCGCTCACTCCTTTATTTTTCTATAAAAATCCAACAAATTAAATTGGTGTGGCCTCAGTATGAGTTTTTAAAAGACAAATCTATTTAAGCCAGTGTTAACTCTACACACTATACAGTACATAATACATTTAATCATATGAGTTACTAACAGAGCCGAAAGGTCTGGGCCGGCGATGGGAGATTTTACTGCACATATTTGTTAAGTAGATGCGTAAAATAGGGGATTGGGCTACTGATGTATCAATTTGTTTTCAAAAGCCAGAAAACGAACTGGATTGACGCTTTGCAGTTTCTACCATGAGTTACCTCACGACATGGAGGTCTTAAACTGAGAGCTCAAAAAGATCTAGCGAATTTCTAACTTAGGTCTCCCCTCCGTTTTTCTTAGCC